AAAGAAAGAAAAATCAGTGTCGTTCACGACGGCGTTGCGCGTGATGCTGCTGTCGATCTAGAGGAGCCGCGTGCACGATAAAAAGCGGCTGTGGACTGACCGAATACACAGCTCCACCAGGGCCCACCTACACTCCGTCGCCCGCCAATGCCCTCACCGAACAGACCCCGAGATGACGACCGACACGCGGTAGAGGAAAACAGCCGCGGCGAGACAAAAGAGAGAAGCCCTGCTCTCTCTCTCTCTCTCTCGCTCGCTCGCTCGCTCGCTTGCTGCACGGCACACGCACCACGCACCCACGCGCCCGCGACGCTCCGCGAGCCCGATTCGAACCCACGTCCAGCCACCCAAAACCGAACAAAAAACACTCCTAAAACTCAAATGAAAGATGGCGTAGTGTGTTAGCACCGCTGCCAATGTTGCCGGGGCGTCACACTGGCAGCTAGAAGGAACTCACCAGTCCGATAAGGATCAACTGGAAAGCTGAACCCTGGGCTTAGACAGAACGGGCGTGGCAGGCTCCAGGGGAGACCACGCTCTACCCGGGGCGCTAAGGAGGGAAATCGAAGCTGTTGGGCGCCCAGCGAGAAAAACTCGCGAGGACACACCGACAATCCCCCCTCCCCGAAGACCAAACCTAGGCACGTAGAGCACGGGTCATCTCGGAGAGAGAAAGGGGGGGGAAGAGGGGGGGGATAAGGGAGCCAGATACGCGGGAGTACCCTGGGAGTGAGAGCTCTCATTCATGGTCGCGAGACCAGGGGAAGCCATAACGGGGAACGGGCACACCAAGGCACTAACTTCATCACTCATTCGCCCCCGCATTAGGTAGCGACCCCAGGTTCAGAGCTAGGCTGCCCGACAGGGCAGGGAACCCCCAGCGCGCAGGCGGGGCCCACGGTAGCCTCGTGCAGTACGCGATACCGAGAGCTGGGGGGTGAGGCGCGCCCACGCCAAGGGGGAGAGAATGGAGGGGGGAGAATATGCGTGCTCGTTTTTCTTCTAAAGCAATTTTTTTTTCCGTGACGCGCGCCGCTCTCGCTCGTCCGACCGAAGGATGTAATGAACGATGCTAGGGGTAAAGGCTAGAGCGCGCGGCGGCGCGATTCCGGGTCTCGCCCCCCAGTTGCGCGCGCAGCGCACAGACCCGCAGACGCCCGCGTCGTCCGACGTGCCCCCGGCCACAGACTCATAAGTACATGTCAGGAACAGCGGCAAGCTAGGCAAGCGCGCGGCGCAAGAGGGGGCGGAGAGGCGCCAGCGGAGGGCACTAGCGATAGAGTGCGATCTGCGCCATGGAATCAGAGCCATGGAATCTGAGCCGTGCGGTCGGCCTGGGCCGTGCGGTCGGCCGGCGCGGCGCCGCCTCACTGCGCCCACAGGATGCGCGAGCGGATCGACTCTCCGAGCGACTTGATGATGGTCATGCACTCCTCGGAGGTGAAGACGTCGACGTCGACCACCATGTAGCCCACCGTCTCGGAGGTCGTCAGCTGCTGCGCAAAGATGTTGCAGCCCGCCTGCGAGGTATGTTCCTAGACGGTTCCTAGAAGGTTCCTAGAGCTGCGCAAAGATGTTGCAGCCCGCCTGCGAGTGTCCCCCGCTATGTGTCGCCGTCATCGGGGCACGCTATCCTGTGCAGGCAGCGCAAGGCGGGGCGGGGGGCACTCCCACCTCTCCTGTGTACGGGTGGTGACTTGTCCCTACACTCTTTGAGGGGGGCTTGACGCTAAGAATGCTTTCTGTTTGGGCAGCCCGCCTGCGAGAGCGCCGTGTTGACCTTCATCAGCACGCCGGGCACATTGCGGTGGCAGTTGATCAGCCGGTGCGTGCCGACGCGAGGCATGATGTCGACCTGCGGGAAGTTGACTGCGCCGT